ATATTATTTAGTTGTTAGACAGATGAGAACACACATTTTTATCTTCCACGTTTGTGTGCCTTACATGACTTTTTTAAACATATGTAAAGACGAAAAATTTTGATTTTCAGTCGCAACTTGTCTTCTGGCACTTAGCTCCACCTTCTGACAATTCTTTAAATATTGCAAAGGCTGCATATCAAGTCTCAGTTTTGTCAGTGGTTCCAGTATAATGCTGTGGCACTCAAAATAAATTTACTTGACACATTTCTATAGTGAGAAAACTATATAGTTTTAAATACATATTCCTAAAAGTAATAGGATTGCACCTATATAATACTTGCTGTTACCATGTAAAGAAAAAGGAGAAAACATTTTAAATCAGTATATAGATTTCACTGTATTATCGCTAAACAAAATTCATTACTATTTTATTTTAACTAGGCTTAAGCACTTCATGAAGATTTCCTACTCTGTAACAACTTTGAATCATAGAATCATAGAATGGTTAGGGTTAGAAAAAACCTTAAGATCATCTAGTTCCAACCCCTCTGCCATGGGCAGGGACACCTCACATTAAACCATGTCACCCAAGGCTACGTCCAACCTGGTCTTGAACACTGCCAGGGATGGAGCATTCACAACCTCCCTGGGCAACCCATTCCAGTGCCTCACCACCCTAACAGGAAAGAATTTCCTCCTTATATCCAATCTAAACTTCCCCTGTTTAAGTTTTAACCCATTACGCCTTGTCCTGTCACTACAGTCTCTAATGAAGAGTCCCTCTCCAGCATCCCTATAGGCCCCCTTCAGATACTGGAAGGCTGCTATGAGGTCTCCATGCAGCCTTCTCTTTTCCAGGCTGAACAGCCACAACTTCCTCAGCCTGTCTTCACACAGGAGGTGCTCCAGTCCCCTCATCATCCTCGTGGCCCTCCTCTGGACTTGTTCCAACAGTTCCATGTCCTTTTTATGTTGAGGACACCAGAACTGCACACAGTACTCCAAGTGAGGTCTCACAAGAGCAGAGTAGAGGGGCAGGATCACCTCCTTCGACCTGCTGGTCACGCTCCTTTTGATGCAGTCCAAGATACTGTTGGCTTTCTGGGCTGCGAGCGCACACTGAAGCCGGCTCATGTTCATTTTCTCATCAACCAACACCCCCAAGTCCTTCTCCACAGGGCTGCTCTGAATCTCTTCTCTGCCCAACCTGTAGCTGTGCCTGGGATTGCTCCGACCTAGGTGTAGGACCTTGCACTTGGCATGGTTAACTTCATGAGGTTGGCATCAGCCCACCTCACAAGTGTGTCCAGGTCCCTCTGGATGGCATTCCTTCCCTCCAGCGTATCAACCGAACCACACAGCTTGGTGTCATCAGCAAACTTGCTGAGGGAGGACTCAATCCCACTGTTCATGTCAGCGACAAAGATGTTAAGCAAGACTGGTCTCAACACCTATCCCTGAAGGACACCACTCGTTACTGGTCTCCAGCTGGACACTGAGCCACTGACCTCTTTGCATGCAGCCATCCAGCCAGTTCTTTATCTACCGAGTGGTCCATCCATCAAATTGATGTCTCTCCAATTTACAGACAAGGATGTCATGTGGCTCCGTGTTGAACGCTTTACACAAGTCCACGTAGATGACATCAACTTCTCTACCCCTGTCCATCAGTTCTGTAGCCCCATCACAGAAGCTAATACTGACGCTGTAATTTTAAACTTTTGAAATTCAAACCACCATCGTTGTACTTAATTACCTGAGTAAGCGTTTAACTGGCACTGCAATATTCCAAATATTCCTGGTGGTTTTATTTCTATTCAGATCTTAAGATATAAGTGTTCCTGTTGTTGTATTTGTTTTAATTACAATGGAATACTGCCATACTCTTGTTAATCATACTAATAGCAAGAACAGCATTTATACCTTAGTACAAAAGACAGGCCATACATCCATTGACCTAACACTGAAACATGAAACACTAGTTAAGCTTCCAGCTACCGTTTGATTTTTGTAAAGTAACATAATACATATCCAATCAATCTGGATACATTTGGGAAGTAAACCCAGAAGTTTACAAGGAATAACCAGCTTTTTCTTAGTATTTACCTCTTAAACGTAAGTATAGAAGAAAAACTTAACTATGATTCTTCGGATTACATATTGCATTGCATAACTTGAAGGGGCTCAAAGCCATTATTTTAAACTTGTAGCAACTTCAGCATTAAAATTATCTCTGTCTTGCATGGTTATCCGAGTAGAAAGGCAAAAATACTAGGAAAAAAATATTTTTCCACATATGATGCCAAAACTGATGAATGTAATGTTCAGTAATGGCCAAAAGTAGAATTTTTTTTTTTCACCTCCTTGCTATGGTACATCACTGAACAAAAGAGAAGCATCCAGCAATTTTCTTTTTTTCTTAAAATGTGCACATGAACACTAATACACAGCTAACATTCTGCAAACAATAAAATACATTGAATAAACCAAACCATATTGAAGACACTAACAATGCGTGCAGTCTACAGTTAACAGGGACAAAAAAAGAACTAGGAAACAAAGGAAGTTATAATACACACGTATAACACTGTCTATAAAAACACATCAAAAAGAATTTCATAATTTCATTCCTTGTTAGTATTCTAGTATACTGTTACCTAATGTATGAGATGGAAAACAACACAATTTGTGCACTAATCTACTACGAATTTAATTGTATTTATATGACAGCTTATAAATACTCAAACAGGAAACTTTACAAAATGTTTTGTGTTTCGTATTTTTAATTTTAAAATACAAAAAAAAATTCACTTGTGACTGAATACACTAAAATCTACTTCATATGCATGCTCACAACACAAGCCAACTATGATTTTGTCTTTCCTAGGAACAGAATTCGTAAAACAAGCATTTATAATGAAGTTCTGAAGAGGAATAAATAGCCACATTCAAATGTAGTATCAGACAACGTTTAGATGAACTGCTTCTAGATACAGACAAGAAACCTAGACAGAATCATAGCTGAAGAAACAACAATCCTCTTGAATGATACCACAATGAGCAATCAGCAGTAAGAACATTTCATTTTAATCATTTAACAGCTGCATAATTTTAAGCAGTTTTACTTAAAAAAAAAATCCTATTATAAAAAGCATCAGGAAGCTTATTTATTTGAACAGCCTGTCGGTGTATTATTTTTTCATCTTGAAATACAGTCAAGACTGCCCTCTCAAGTTACAGGAATTTGAAAAAAGTTCAATTTAGATTTGCGCTGTATCTACCACTTCTTAATCAATTTTACTAGTACATGATATTAACTTAATGGTTAGACAAAATTTAAGTGGTATCTGCCTGTTTTAAATAAATTACTCAAGGGAAATCACCCAACACTGAAGTCAAATTCCATTATTTATCATGGTACATACAAATTATAAGACTAAATTCTCTGAAGCCAAATTAGCAACATTTTTCTTACTCTCAGTTCATTTAATATATGCAAAAATATATTTCCTGCATCATACCAGAAATTTCAGTATGCAGATACTTGGGGGGCTGGGGGGGAGGACAAAAAAAAAACAAAACAACACAAAAACAGCCCACAAAATTACCATGGATAACTTTTATTCCAAAAAAAATAAGAGGTGAGCATTCTTTACTTTGTGTTGTACATATACGCAAGGATTATTTTCTCATACCCATCGAAACAGAGACTTGGACGCACAATGACAGTTCTTAGTAATCATACACTGAGGTAGAAAAATACCAGTCTCTTGATTAGACTCATCATCTCAACTAACCCTGACAGACAATATTCACTAGCGTTACTACAGGATGTGTAGTAACGCTACGTCTAAATAACTATGAAATACCATAATTACTATAACTAACATGAAATAACTAACAAGATAGCCTACCCCAAAAAGATTCCAAGCCTTCTAATCTTTCACAATCATCACCCTAATCTTTCCTTCTCCATCTTTTTGTGCTTTAGCAACTCCTCTTAGATTATGATTAGCATCCCAGCTTTGTGAAATTATGTTCTGTACCAATGAAAATGGCAACAACCTGCCAGCGCCTTGTAAATATTAAACAGTAGTGGAAGTAAGAGAATACTGATAATTAAGTGTATCTGTAGAAGGTGAATGGAAATAAAAACAAACTTGATTCCACAAATAGAGAAAACAAAAGCACTCCTATCAGAAACAATCGTTTCATTATTATTTCACTGAGCTAGTGCTCTGTGGGCCAAAACAAATGGCAAACTAAACCTCCAAAGAAAACAAGTCACTAAAAATCTCATATATGTCAAACTTAATCCATAAAAGCAAACACGACTGCTTTTCCCTTTAGTAAACACTTAAGTTTCCTTCTTTTATGCAGCCTACTGTCCCTACACATAGCTGCATACAATTGAGAAAAGGAAGTCACAAAATATTAGCAAAGTACTTATTCCAATTACATGGGGCCTCATCATAGTACAAAACGTGCCTTTTGATAATTAAGGGGATATAAATATTTAAAAGTTGCAAAGAAACCAGCGTTTGTTTCTATTCAAAGAAAAGAGTAATTACTATACATAAAAGTCACTTCTTAGTTACACAGTGTGTGCAGCAATTCCAGCAGCTTTTAGTGTTATATTTCTATCTACAACTGTGAAGGTTCAACAGAGTCAATGAAATTACCAATAGCTACCCAGCCATGTTTACTAAATCTATTCAAGGTTTTATACATTTGATTGTAAAACAGTCTAATGAGAATCTAAGCATCAACTGTACAGAAGAACAAACCAAGTCCACAGACATATAGGGAGCGTTACAAGTCATTCAAATAAATAAAAAAATAAATAAAAAAATAAAAAAAATAATCACACAACTGAACCTTTTTGTTAGACAAATCTCCACAAAGGGAAAGTGAGGTTTACTCACTTCAGTCATCCCTGTGAATATCTTGGGACTCTTTCCAGCACCAAAGTACAATAGAAAGACTGCACACTTCAGTAAAACAGATGTAAAACATACCATAGAAGTCACTGATCTGGCATCTTCTTCATAATTCACTACAGGTGGTGGCTCTTTTCCATCATTCTCTTGGACTTTTTGTTCCAGTAGTTCTTTCTGGGCTGCAAATTTTGCCTCAGAGCATCTTAATTGCTGAACTGTTTGCTTAAGTTCTTCCAGTGCTTGCTTTTGGCTCAGTAAGAGTACAATACTGCAGAGAAAAATAACAAACCATTTTAAAATATACATGACTTAAAATACATAGTTTGTTTCATAATATTTTTTTTAAAAAGACATACAAAAAAGAGCATGAAAACTTCTCAAACAGAATTATCTGTTCAAAGGCATTAATATATGACGCGATTCTAGAAAATTTCCAAATCTATAAGGCAATGCAAACATCTACTTTGCCATTCTCTTTTCTCAATCTATCCCAAAATCATGTTGTAATAAATATAGATGAAACTCCTATTTTTGTCCATTTTTGACTGAATTTATAAACACTAGGGTTCACCATTCTTTAGAGAAGAAATACAATTTTGGTTTATGATTTCCAGCAGTGAGAAATCCACTGCAATCCACATAGTTGTTGTAATACTAATTAGCACTATTAAACTCACTTTACATCCTGTATAAATTCATCTGGCGCCAAGTTAGATTTATCTGCTGTGTCTTCTGGACTGAAAGGTCCTCTACTGAATAGGTATTTCTGGACTGCAGTACAGCATTCTGCAATACAAAGCTAAGTAAAAACTCTATGAGGAGCTAAAAGCAATTTTTTCTTGCCTTCTGCATGTTCTATGGCTCTTCTCTGAATACCTCTCATGCCCCTGAATACTTCAAGACAGACATAATTCAATCATTACTGAAGGACAAGCAGACCAGTTAGAACATCTGCAGGTACCTATATGACTCAATTATCCCCAAGAACTGACAACCAAAGGTGGACAGAAGCTGCCTGAAAGACAGAACCATCCACAGTACTATACAGACACCCTTAAAAGCACTCAACTGAAGCCCAATGACGTCACCTATAAAGAAATGCAGAGTTCTAACAACCTGCAAGCACAGGTGAAGGAGGCAGAGTGACCAGAATTATAAAGAATGAGGACAAGCTAAAGAAAAATCACAGTATTCTATTTGTGTATCTTTCTGATAATCCCTGAAGACAAGAGCCTCCTTAGCGAAAAACAGTCACAGACATTGAGATTCACAAACTGATGCTGTACCAAATGACTACTCAAACAGGTTCACAAATGATAACAGAACCATGTCATAAAATCCTCATTGGCAAGAAAAGATAAAAATCATACCCCTGTAGATGAGCATTGTACTAAGTCACCAAAGAACAGAATTCTCTACAATGGCCGGAATGATCATTCATGTTAAAATATTAAGTATGATGTATAAAGACACTAATAGAGGACTTGAAATGAAGTTGTGGCTAACCCATCCCTGGCAGTGTTCAAGGCCACACTGGATGGGTCTTCGAGCAGCCTGGTCTAGTGGAAGCTGTCCCTGCCCGTGGCAGGGGGCTGAAACTAGATGGTCTTTAAGGTCCCCTCCAAACCAAACCATTCTATGATTCTGTGAAACTGAGGTCTGTCATGAAGACTGCACACATTTAAAAGCACCACACAAACAACAATTATTCTGACACTATCCTCAAGATAATGTTCTTTCATATGGTCCTCTTGAAAAAAGAGATCACCCTGTAAAAATTATGGTCTTCCACCATCAGCAGGGCCTTGGTGATGGTGGCTAGAATGACACATCCCAGACACTGAATGGCTGCCTTCTTATCATGATCTGGAGACAAGAAGACACGCCTTGCAAGTTAAAAGTTACACGCTATTCTCCCTCCTCAACTGTGGCAAAATGGATTATCATCTAATTGGCTTGCCCAAACCCAACATAGACTGCTCCCCATTCCATCTATGCAAGAGGAATTAGAATCTATAAAACTATTTGCCTATGTCTTGCCTGAGTGCAAACTTTATAGTCCTTGTGGTATATTAAGAGCTGCTACATCTCAGAGAGTAAGATCTTGTGTGAAGAATCCTTGCAAGACCTGAAGAGAGCAACATGTTGGGAAGTGGTAAAAAGGTTAACTGAATTAAAAAACAAATATTCAATATGCTATCATGTTAGAAAGGCAGATGGTACATACACACATATAAATAAAATATAAAAACACTCCCTGTGTTATGTGTGATACTGTCATTTGAAGAAATGGATATTGATAATTATATTTATATATCTTTATAATTATTATTGAGGAGAAACACAAAATCGGAGACCTGGAGATACAATTCTGCACATGCCCTAATTAAAAGCTTAGTATACGCAAAGATCAATTTGTAGTTTTGCCAGAATTAGACAATGAGAAATGCTTTTAAGCCCCAACCCAGACTGCTGCTGTGAATCCAGTAAACAACTCAGAACATGTGGTACTGAAGCTGTGTCATAAAGAAGTAAGGGGACAGCTGAAGTCCAAACTGCTTCAAATGAAGAGACAGAAAACATGATTTTGCAGACTTTTACCATCATTTTGCCCAGATAAAGTAGACAAGTAGATTTCCTCAGCACTGAAGGGCAATGCTCAGCACATTGGGTGAGGCTCAACAATAACATAGGGTCTAGAGCTCTTGCATTTGGAGTGGGCCTCCTCACTCTCTTTTCCTGACAGACTTGCACTGCACCAGCAGAATAACCTCTGGCTCAGGAAGCAAGCTTTCATTTTTTTGTTCAACTACCTTTATTTTTCGCCTTGTCTTGCAGCACTGATGCCAGTCCGTATGCTATGACAGCAGTCAAGAGCACGTAACAGTTGGATGAGAGATCTTCTGCGGACCCTAAGCACATGCAAAAACATCCTGATCACTCTGAACTGCAGTTAAAAGGTGACAATAGCATCTGCTGGAGGAAGGCATGACCAATAACAAATCAGAACTGGGACGATTTCATGGAAGCTTTTATCTGACAACTAGAAATCTAAACCAAATTTCATGCCTTTTAATACAACCTACAAGTGCCGGTGCAGACTGAACTGGAATCATCTCAACACCACAAATATCTACGGGATCAGTCAAAGAAGTCTCTCACAGTGAGAAACACAGGGATGGTCTGAACTGTTTTCATAGAGAGGTAACTAATAATTATACTGATGAAAAAACCAAACCAAACCAAAAAGAAAATAAAAACACACCACCAAACTCATCTAGTTCAAATACAATTTATCCTTTAAGTAACATGCAGCAAGGAAGGTAGGTCAAGAACCAAAAGACTGTAAAATATACTGTGCCTATATGTGAATTTCACCAAAGAAAGAACAGGAAAGTATCTAACCAAAACACTAATATCTTATACATTACATACATAAAATTTTGTTTATTAATAAAATTATATCCAAAGTATCAAGTGACAAGTTGCCTTCAACAAGGAGCTTCAAGACTTCTTCAGTGAATGAAAAAAGGATTACCTGAGGACTTGTGTTCCAATTCACTGGTATTATAAACTCATATTTATGACCAAGTTAGTAAGGTTATGACTGATTGCAACAAGAACCAGAATAACATCACCACAACAGGTTTGGTTGTGTGCTGTATTCAGTTTAGACTGAGATGTATTTTTTCTAACCAGAGGTAGAAAAAAACTAAAGATCTTGTCCAATAATAACCTTTTACTAATAATATAATAATCTTTTATTTATGGCATTGTAAAGCACTCATTAATCCCTCACCTTCATTATTTACAATGCTGTACTACAATGTATTAGATCTACATTCAGTTTTGTAAAGAAAATGCAAAAAAGAATGAACTTAACCTTATAAGCTCAAACATTCTTGCATAAGAAAAAGTACATCTTGAGCATGAATCTGAAAGTCTTTCACAAAACTGTATCTACACAATAAACTCCATCAGAGAGGCAATCTAAACTGACCGCTCTTCTTCCATCAGGCAGAAGTTGCAAATAACAAAAGGTCCAATTCCTGAGCCACCTCAACACTGTGACAATTATATTGAACTAATGGATCCGCTCAGTTCTCTACTGAATTAGGATCTGCAGTGGGTAGGGGTTATTTTAGAGATGAGGTATTCAAAATAATCTCTTCTCACAAAAGCAGAACAAGATGAGTGATTGTTACTTCTTTCTTTCTTCTTAGGAAATCGATTATAGGTATTTTTCCCTCACATTACTGTATTTTGAAATTTCATTTTGACTTACTCAGACTTCTTTTCACAAGTCTTAGAAGACTCTTCTATTTTTTTCTCCAGTTCCAAAACAAGTTCCTCTTTGCTCAAAAGGTTTTGCTGTGTCTGAATCAGTTCTTCTATTACAGTTTTTAACCTGCAAGACATAGATTTCAGAAACCCACATTATTAATATGCAAATTGTATATATTTGGGAACATTGTATTTTCTTCCTTAAGATGTAAAAGAGCATTACTCTTTACATTACCTTACTCGGTGCCTGGTGATCCTTTTCTGTGGATGGATGTTTGTATTATTAACTCAAATTATTACAGACCCCATACTAATTTCTGTACACATACAGGCTTATAGAATGATCTGCCGCCTGCAGGCTCTCCTGAAGAAAATTTCTTCAAGAATGTGTGATGAGTTCTATGAATTAATACTTTCCTAATAGATTGTTAATTTATGAGACATTTTATGAAACATGAAACCCTTCCAAATACTCAGGCAAATGTTAAATACACTGAATCAGCAGTTGGGCTGTACTTACCTCTACAAATAACAAAAATAGAAAGGGACACTACCATAAGAGTGATTTGTATATTCTTCTCTACAATTAACTTTTTTAAAGCCAGTCAATCTTTGGTAACAGTTAATTCAAATGAAAGATTACATTTGTACAAGAAGGTATCAGTATTTGCTCAAAACTAAAAGATAAGGGGTTATTACACATTACAACCATTGCAATTATGCTGGCAAACATTCCAATAACAAAAATTCCAATACATGTGGGCTCCTTCAAGAAAGCAACAGAAGACCTGGACATGGAGAAGAGGAAGGCACTCAATGACCCTTTTGCCTCAGTCTTCCCTGGCAAGAGCACCAGCCACACTGCCCCAGTCACAGAAGGCAAATGTGGAGAGCCCATGGTAGCAGAAGATCAGGTTTGAAAACAACTAAGGAACCTGAAGGTGTGCAAGTCCATGGGACCTGATGAGATGCATCCAGAGGTCCTGAGAAAACTGGAAGACTTGCTTACCAAGCCATTATCTATTTTATTTCAGAAGTTGTGGCAGTCTGGTGAAGATCCTCCTGACTGGAAAAAGGGAAATACAACCCCCATTTTTGTAAAGGAAAAAAAGGAAGACCTGGGTAACTACAGGCTGATCAGTCTCACCTTGGTGCCCAGCAATATCATGGAGCAGATCCTCCTGGAAACTATGCTAAGGCGCATGGGCAGTAAGGGGGTGATTGATGACAGCCATCATGACTTCACTATGGGCAAATTTTGCCTGTCAAATTTGGTGCCCTTCTATGATGGGGTTATGGCACTGGCAGATAAAGGAAGAGCAACTGATGTCATCTACCTGGACATGACCAAGGCATTTGACACTGTCTTGCACAGGATGCTTGCCTCTAAATTGGAGAGGCATGGATTTGATGGATGGACTACTCAGTGGATAAGGAATCAGCTAGATGGTCAAACTCAAAGAGTTGTGGTCAATGGCTCAATGTCCAAGTGGAGACCAGTAATAAGTGGTGGTCCTCAAGGGTTGGTATTGCTACCGGTGACATTCAACATCTTTGTCAGTGACATGGACAGCAGGATTGATGCACCTTCAGCAAGTCTGCCAACACCAAGCTGCGCGGTGCAGCTGACACACTGGAGGGAAGGGATGCCATCCAGAGGATCCTTGACAGGCTTGAGACGTGGGCCAGTGCAAACCTCATGGTTCAACAAGACCAAGCACAAAGTCCTGTATCTTGGGTCAGGGCAATCCCAAGCACAAAAACAGGCTGGGTGGAGCATGGAATGAGAGCAGCCCTCAGGAGAAGGACTTGGGTGTGTCGGCTGGTAAGAAGCTCAATGTGAGTCAGCAATGTGCGCTTGCAGCCCAGAAACCACCTGTGTCCTGGGCGGGCTGCATCAAAAGGAATGTGCCCAGCAGGTCAAGGGAGGGGATTCTTCCTCTGCTCTTGCCCACCTGCAGTCCTGCATTCAGTTCTGGGGCCCCTTAAGCAGATGTGGACCTGCTTGAGCAAGTCCAGAGAAGGGCCATGAAGATGATCAGAGGAGCACCTCTCCTATGAAGACATGCTGAGGGAGTTGGCCTTATTCAGCCTGGAGAAGAGAAGGCTCTGGGGAGGCCTTAAAACAGCCACCAGTACCTAAAGGGGGTCTACAAGAAATCTGGAGAGGGACTTTTTACAAGGGGCTGTAGTGATAGGACCTGTGGCAATGGCTTTAAACTGACAGAGGGGAGATTTAGATTAGATATTAGGAAGGAATTCTTTTCTATGAAGGTGGTGAAAACACAAGCAGAGGTTGCTCAAAGAAGCTGTGGCTGCCCCATCCCTTGCAGTGTTCAAGGCCAGACTGGATGGGGCTTGGAGCAACCTGATCTGGTGAAAGGTGTCGCTGTCCGTGGCAGAGGTTTGGAACTGGATGATGTTTAAGGTCCCTTTGCATTGTAACCATTCTAAGATCTATGTTAACCAGAAAGTGAACAAATATACAAAACATTTGCACTCCGAACAATGCAGGAAAAATACATACACCTTATTTCCTTCAGAGCATTCACCTACCTGTCTTTTACTGCCCTAATCTGCTGCCCCTGTATTTTGAAATCCAATTTAAATTTAAAAAAATCTTGAAACAAAGAGTTGAACAAAGGTAAAATACACATAGTACTTGCCACTGCACAAATCTATTACCCAAAAATCATTCCAGACTGGGAAGCGGCAAAGAAGGTCAATTAAGAGTAACATACGTGGACTCTAGGTATCTACGAGCCACGTTCTACATCCATATATACCAAACTGAATTATTTGATTCTAAATGCTGATTTAGTTTTCTTTCTTCTTCATATATTTTATTCAATGTTGATTATATATATTCTTTACTCAGAGAGTTCTGTCTCTTACCTTGGAAGACTTAAATTACTGTAAGAAAGCCATACAGTGAATGGTAAGTTTATTTACCATATCAACAAGCTTCTGCATGTGTTTATTTTGAAGTGAGTAGAATACTTAAAACGTTTTTCTCAAGTATCACCACAGCTCTCCTTCTAATAAACACTTTTTTTTTGTTTTAGGCTATAAAATTTTGTATGCTGAACTTCTCAGAAATTTTCTTACAATGGATCACCAATATAATATGCAGTAGCTTTTTTAATACCTTGCTGAAAACATAATTACCAATTCTGTAACTGCAGATACTGCTTTTTGATCAGATTTCTAATCAAAATTTTAATCAACATTGTATTGGCTTAATAATTGATTTACAGGAAGCAGATGTTAGAGCTAATGATCAAGCACCAATATTCAAGAAATTAAAATCAAATTAGTAAGACTGTTCATCACTGGAAGATACGAGTGCATACATGCAGAAACAACGTATTAAAATATTGTACCAGTTCAAAAATATCAGATTTTATATTGCAGCATCAGACTGAAACAGGAAGTTCACGTAGGTCTCCCTGAAACCTTTAAGATATTTTAAAATATTTGTATTTACTTTAGAGTAAACAAAACAAAGTAACCATATACACACTATAACCTTTCTCCTTGTTTCAACCTCTATTTTTTGTTTTAAGCAAAAATTTTCATTCAAACTGGCAAGAACTGACATCTCTGCGTCTGCCTTGTATTATCTTACTCCTAAGTTTCTTATGGCCTCATATTTGCCTCCTGGATAAAATAGTTTACAAAATGGTTTTTATTGCTAACCAGCTAGTCACTGTAATCCTTACTAGCCTTAACAGCCATGCAATCTCAAACTGTTAGGTTTCAATGTCATAAGAACATATAAAATGAGACAAAAAAAAAAAACAAACCAAAAACAAACCACAACAAAACAACAACCAAAGAAACCCAGACAAAAGACAGCTTCAAACTAGGTTCTAGCTACCTGGAAAGCTGTCTTTCAGATTTCTTTAGTCATTAGCACTATTCTGCCTCAAATATCAATAAAAATAAATGCTTGTGCTTACAGACTCCTATTTTGAAAATTTTTTACCTTCATTTGGATATTAACTCATACGCCTTCTGAACAACATTTACTTAATCCTGATTGGCTCCTCTCAGCTTTTAATGCACTAACCTTCAAAGCATAAACTGCCATTGTTCTACTTTTCAGAGTATCTCAATATTAGTCAGCGACAGTCATCAACATTTATCAGGAGACATCATACCTCTCTCATTACTTACATGCTAGGCAGTCAACGTTTTTAACTACCTCCCTCTGTCAAAACATTACTTGTAAATATAAACTTCCCTAAAAAATGTAAAAGTAAGGCAGTTTTCTCATCATGTTTCCTTAAAATATTTTTTATGAAAACCTTTAAACAGTAATGTATGCAAAGCTGTCATGTTTATCTTCACATAGTCAACTGATGCAACCAAAAATTACTGATTCGAAATCAGTATACATCGTCGTATCTATTAAAAGTCTGTAAAATATATCCAATATGTGAAGAACTGCATTTATTATATTTGGTAGATACCAAAGGTAGTTCTCTTCTGCAGAAACATATCTATGGATATAGGATGCAATACTTAGCTTACTTGCAAATTTCTAGTCATACACAGTGAGTTTATGAAAATGTCTGTGCATTTTTTGGCTGTAGTGGCTTAAAAGTAAGACTAGCAAATATATCTAAAAAAGCAGTTAAAAAGGTGTATGAGCAAAGGCAGTAACAGAGAACTAAGCACTTCTAAAAGGAAAGGTTCTGACCTGCACTAAAAAGCAATTAAAAAAAGGCCAAAGACGATAAGAATAAACAAGTTTTACAGTACCAGGAGATAGTGGAGTTTTACAAAAATCTGTACTGCTTAATGTGTTCATAATAGCACAAATAAAAGGACAGTTTAAACAGTGACAAAGAATGCTGACAGTACTATGTTATTTGAGATAGGGGGAAGGGGCTGAAAGCAAAGAATACGAAAGGATTATTCTGGATCTTACGATACTCAGTTATTGTACTGTCATTTAGAAGATGCATATTGAAACAGGTAAATATACAGCAGGGAAAAAAAACCAATCCAGAGCTTTATTTATGTAGTGAACAGCTTTAAACTGACTGTTACCATTCAGAAACGAGATCTAGGAATTACAGCAGATTGTCCTGTGAAAACACTGCCTCTTCTGACCACTGCAGTGGTCAGAAAATCAAACAGAACAATTTCCTAGGGTTTGTCAAACACAAAGCAGAACAAGAATACCAGAAACCTCAGTATGCCTGTCTCTAAACTATGCCTCTAGATTAATTATGTAGTCATGGTCATTCATTTCAAAAACAATACAGTAACCTCAAAACCATTCAAATAAAGATGACAATCCTGACAAAGGGTATGAGTAAGTTTTGCGAAAGAACAAACTAAAGCTAAAGACGCCTCTGAAAAGTAGATCGCCGAATAGGAGTATGACAGAAGTTTACTGTATCATAGCCAAAAAGGAATAGAATGTTTCTGTTTTCTTCCAAAACAAAGAGCTTAGGGGCCATAAAACAAAGCTAAGAAGTAGCAGGTTCATATATGATGACAGGAAGTTACTCTTTGGAATTCCTTGACCAAAAATTCTGTGGACAATGAATACCTGAACATACTGAAACTGACTGTACAAATTCACCAAATTAAAATACCTCTGAAGGGTATTAAAAACTACCTCTAAGGCTTTTATAAACAAATACTACTTCTACTACATTTCTGACCTGAACATCATGGGAAGCTGAGAGATCATTCTGAAGAACAAACATTGCATATTCATCCTGTTCTTGTCATGTCTAGATTTTTCCCTGTGGCTAATGTCAGAGAGAAGAAAGTTGGGTAGGTTAGTCTGACCTAGCACAGTCAAAACTTTTTTTGCTGTCGGAAATCTGCATCAGAAAGTGAACACCTCAAAGACAGCAATGCTTAAAAAAGCTATTTGATTCCCATTTCAAAAATAGTCTCACGCTGTACAATTGCTCTCTCAAATTCACAGAAGAATTTAAAATGGGTGGATATAAGATTTCTAATAGGACACCCTGGAAATTGGATTGAAAATGCATACATACAAGTAATTATGCAGACACATTCACAAAAACAAAGATACACTTCATGAGAATCATTTACTAAAGAAGCAGCATTTCATCTCTTTCACTTAGATGTGCTAATGTCTTATTTCTAAACAATGCAATACAGAAGGCAAGCCCAACAAGAAGGCATTTATCTTTTTGAGCTATGGAAGAGAAAATCTTTGAAAAACTGTAATACTTTCATGAAAAGCAAGATTTAGTACATGTATTTTTCTTGTTACTGTGCTGAAGTACATCTAGATGTACAACACTGGCATAGTTTAAACAGAAATAAACTCAATTTTGTAATGAAGCAGAATATATTATACAGAGAAACATGTTTAAAGGGAAGAACTTCAGTTATCAAGGGATTCTTCTCTTCAGAAAAGAGATGGAGTGTCTTCAGGACTAAGGAGGAGTTTAACAAAGGAGGCTGAGACTTCATATTAAAAATATAATTTCAATACCTATTAAGGAATGTATTTATGAAAAGTAATAAGAATGCAAAGGTAAAAACAAAAGGATGATTCATGGTCTTGAATGGGAATTTATTATAAAGTCCAGAGTTTCTGTCATGTTGAGAAAACACAGGGATATTAGAATAATCTGCAGAAGACACTGCAATGTATTTACATGTGAAATACATCACTGCTATTAGACTCCCTATGATTTTGGTCTTCAGAAATACCTACAAGAAATATGGATCATAGATTGATTAAGCTGATGAATTTTCTAAAAAACTTTTAAAAAACCCTCAACACAGCATTGATATTAGTTGAACTTTTCCTTTAGAAAGCATAACTGATGAAACTAAGTCAAACATGGCTTGAAATAACTGTTGGGACAACAAAAACATCATCAACAAATAAAATTCTGAATTTTCCATTTTAAATCACTATCATTAATATAAAAATAAATATACAATTAATAGTTGCAATCGCAGAAGTTACTGTGTTAGACCATTTTATTATGCCAAATGTTGTGGCTGATAGAACATAATCACCTCAGCAGGAGGTTTGCTCCCCAGGGAACAAATAATTGAAGGTGGAGTTGGTAAAAGTAATGAAAAGATTTAACTAGACAATGTATTAACAAAATACATGGAGAGGTAACTTACCACTCCGAATAGCTGAAAGCTCCATGAAATGCAACAGCTACACCTGTGTTGGTAAGTTAATCTGTTTTAAAGGTTAAAATACTGAATGTCTTTTGGAAAACAAAAGCACTTAGAAAACAAGTAAATACAGTCACGAAAATTTCACACTGCACTCTGTGGTTCCATCAAAAGATTTCAGTATTCTTCCTAGAGTACTGAATGCGGAAACATATTTGGGCAGATGAATCAGTATTAGCCAAAGGAGGACTCATGATGGGTTTGACGCATTATATTAATTAACTGTCAAGGAGACAAACATATATTGAAAGTGCTACCAAGCTGGGGGGGGGGGTATGACTAGAGCAGAAAATTTTGTGCAAAGGAACAATAAAACCAGCATGGAAAAGAGTCTATAGCATGAAAATGTTAAGAGACTAGACTTTAAAAATAAGCATACCATGTGATGATTAAAGTGAGCCTAAATATAATGTGTAACAGCATTTCCAAAGGTTGAAAGGTTTGTAAAGACTTACGTGATTTGTAAACTTTCTGCTGTCAGATTATTCCACATGATCTCATTAGCCTGAAGGTTTTCATTTTCTTCTAGTAAAGATGTATCAAACTCTATTTCTTGCTCAACAACTTCTGATGATCTAATTTATTAAATATAGTTTAAAAAATAAAATTACCTTTGAGCAGATCATAAACCAAATCATTATGTTTTGAATTATTTTAATAACTAGAATTAAAATTACATACAAAATAAAAGTTAGTAGCTGGATACATATTCTTTTTCTTTTGAATAAAAATTGCAGTCTTGAAATCATACCAGGAAATAAAATTACATACAATTCTTTGAATCAAGATCACACCATAATGAAGGTTCTCAAGTGGTATAAATATGCATGGCTCCAATCTTGGCTAGTCCTGCTATAAACCTGCACATAACAATTATGAATTCATACATGAAAACAAAAAAGATAACACATGAAGTCTTAGGACTATTTCAGCATATACTAACACAGAGCAACAGTTCAATAATGGTACAGAGTTTATTTTTACAGTAAAAAATCTAATTATCTGTTTACTCTGTAAAAGAGTACCTAGAGTTCACTTTAAACTAGAACTTGGAAAACAAAAGACATAAAGCAGAGAAAGTTAAGCCAAGAAGGCAAAGTGCATCCAAATAAAGAGTGAATTAGCTTACACAGTTTGGACTGTTATACATAGTCTGCTGTTAGTACTTAAGTTACGGTTCTTTACATGTATGTAATAAAGGCAACTGAAATTTTGTTTTTTGTACTGCCAGACAAGCTTTGGATGGTTAAAGAAAGTCAGGTACAAAACCTGACTTTCAGCCAGCTTTGTGCACATACAAGTAGAACAATTTTCAAACTATAATAAAGCTTTACAAGTAAAAATGTAAAAGGAGACAAACAGATACAAACTCAACTCATAAGCAGTGTTGCAGTTTAATGCAGGGTTTTCCCAAGAAGAAACACGAATACGCACAACAAGGTGAAAATGTGCACCTGTGTGTATCTATGAAGTCATTATACTCAGAGTTAGGGTCTATCTGTTCAACCGAGGTCTGGATCTCTTTATGGACATTCACAATCTCTTCTGTTACAAGACTGGTGATTTGGCTATACTCATCCAAGATTCCTTTTCTAGAAAGGAAAAAAAATTCTAGTGTGTAACATGGCACTGAAGGTATGGATGACATTGAAGATGCTTCAAACTTTCAATTTTCTGTTTCTACAAGCTCTTGCTACAACTGGCTAAAAAAAGGAAAAATGAGACAATACATTACTTAGAGAAATAACAGATCAACTGGGGCCTTTTCTTTACAGCTTGACTATGAGCCTCTAAGACCACGCTCCTTGCACTGATTGCAGTGCATCTACATACAGAGTAGCTAAAAACTGTAGAAATTACATGGAAAAAGTATCTATATAGCTCATTGATGACATTCTTCTTCACAAAGGACTTACCATGCTTGCTCTATCCTACACTAAAGCTTTTTATGTTCTGTCAATTATATTCTGGCATAAGTCAAAACAAGTCACAAAATAGTGTGCATTTCCTTTAAAACTGGTTTTCTTTAATATTTAAACTATCTTCTTTCATATATTCATTTTATGATTTGTTATTCAGACAAAAATAAGCATAAATCACAAGTTAGCATATTTTTACAACAAAATCACACAAGAATTCCATGTAAAAAAAGTACAAGCTACCCAGCCTTGTCTTTACCTGCTTCCCAGAGTGGGAAAAAACAGGTGAATAAGGAACAGCAAAAGAATAGATGGTATTGTGCCACTACTCTTCAGAGCATCCAGTGACATATTCTCAGAACACCCTCCTATTCTCTTTAATTTTCAGTTTTCCATAAACGAACCCTCACAATTATTTCCTATTTCAGCTTTATCTTCAATAAACTTGCCAGGCTGCCAGGCCCTTAATCATGGTGAGACTTCATAAAATACGGATGACTACTGGCTAGCCCAGAGGAACATGCAGAGAGAAAAAAAACCAAAAAAAACCAGACTTTTCCCGGACCAGATGTCAAGTTACACAAACTCTGTAGAAAAAGTTATATGATCAGATTTTTTCAATACTTTTTCTGAGGAGGAAACAGACAAAAGAAGGCATTAAATCTTGCCTTGCCTATGAACAACATGTGTGAAAAGGTTCCAGAAAACAGCTTAAAGAATATGATTACAAGATAGGCAAACAGCAACTACAGCAATGTCATCTCAAAGAGAAAGGAAATCTGTCAATTACAAAAAAACCCCAAACATTAGCAAGACTAATCTATACTCATTCAAGTTTACTGAACTAATTTATGAGCAAAATCAGGTTATCAAGGAAGTATGTTTCACACAGATGGCCACACCAGGCTCTACACCTGAAATCACCACCTCTTTCTGTACAACAAAGTCAGTAGAAAGGAGTAATTTTCCTGTACATTCAGATCTCACAAAAATGTCTATGTAGTGACAATTTTTTTTCACAGGTTTTCATTCCAGACATCACAAAGTCGAGTGGGTTAAATAGGTTCTTGTTCCATCATGAAATTCTTCAGTGAATTATCTCATAATTCTGAAAAATCACTTTAATTACAGCACAGAAATTCAACTGTTGCCTTTTGCTGTGATTTTACATACAAAATTAAGATGAAAAGGACTGTATGCAGACTACTACAAAGGTGTATTTCATTTTGATATTTGCACCAGAATCAAAGGAATTAGGAATTAACGGCAGAGGGCCGTTAATGGCATCTGCATCATGTAAGCATGTAAAGCCTGAAATTCGCAATTCTCCCTCACTTCCTGTGTGCTGAAGTCACAGACTTCAGAGAAGGTAAGAAAATGAGTTAAGAGTGCCTCATATCTAAATGACAAAAAAAGTAAGCTCCCTTTCTTTTAGGCTAAGTGATTTAAATAACACCAGAGCTACAGCGCAGACTCCCATACCAACTTCACGAAAGACAAAGAGACAGCATGGTGGTTCAAAACTAGAAAAGAGAGCTTAAAGTCCTCTGAGATCATCAGCTTGCACACCTTTTGTAAGGATGTTAAAAACTATCTATGATCTTTCAGGAAAAAGGTAACTGTATTTTTAAGGTTGAACACCTTACAGTGAGATCAGGATTATATGATTCTGTTACTTCTCCAGCACACATGATAAACCATGCATCTGCCTGGTCCTCCTCCACAATGACTTGCAAGACAGCTGGCCAGTTTAAATCTAAATTGTTGCTTAGGAGAACTTCATAAAAATAAGACTACAGGAGATGCAACGAACTTGCCATAATATACCTGTACAGTAAATATATAATACACAAGGCTGAAGGACAAAGCATGAGCTCAGATGTAAACACTACACTTAGTCTGTAATATTTTAAGCTTTAATGACAAGACAGTGCCTTGTGACAATGTTCAAGTAACCACCCAAAAATACAGTGTGCATTTGTCAACTGAAAGATAAAACATCTTCATTATCCCTTGCTATACAATTAATCAGATTACTATTTCCAAATAATAATAAAAATTAATTAGAATGCTACATATATAAAATTTCACAAGTATAAATATATAAGAATACATCTTACAAGGCTTTAATCATTTCTTCTTGCATCTTCTGTAGTGAATCAAGTAACAGAGGAAGTGTAGCGTCATAATACTGGTGCTGATGTAACTGTGCTCCTTTCAGTGCCAACACATACTGATTATGCAACATATGAAGCTTCATAGTGGCTTTCTCACACCGATCTTTCGCTTTCTCAGTCTCCTTTCCTAAGAGAAAATAAAAAAGAAGGATTCATGTGGTAATTTAGAGTATGTAAACTTGTAGATGACATAAATTTAGTGGATTTATGATAAGTTAGCACCTTTTTCTACAGTAGTCTTTTCAAGGTACTTCTCTTAAGAACATAAGATCTTACTGGTTTCAGATCACTAGCAAGACCAAATGTCTTGATCTTCTAGTTAAGAGACTAAGTAGGAAAAAGCTGATGTTTTGGGTTTGGGTTTGTTTGTTTTGTTTTTTTTTAACAGCAATGTCAGCATTCTTTACCTAAAAGTGTATGAAAACCACTATTTACATGGTATAAAAATAACGTAACTATGAAGAATAAACAAAGCTCATACACAACAATCACAAAGCTAATCTTATTTACCTCAAAGCAAATAAATATTTTGTAATGCAAAAAGTAAGATATGTCCAACCAGGTCAGATCCATGGTTCAGTCAAAACCCGTCACTTACTGCAAGCAAAAAATCTGTTGCTACATTTCATCCAAATAAAGCAACAGTGCAGTCTCCATATTAGTAGCTGAACTCTCACACTATTACTCCAGTCCAAAATTGGCAACTTCTCTACTATATGATTTAACATTTATCACTGTTGGTATCCTGGTCAGCAGCAGGCTGGACCTACAATCTCAGCTCTATACGGTTAAGAGATTAGAAGACTTGAAATCCATGCTGACAAGAACAGTTCATGCTGAACCCAAGAGCTACAAGGTACTTCAAGAGGTCACCTATTCAATTTTTTGCCACAGTAGTACAAGTATATGGTGTATGCTTTCATGATTTTCCTAAGATCTCCACTGACATAATTTTGCAACTTTCTAGTACCATTCAGGCCTAGTGAAGGTTTCTCTCCACCTCGCTGCCCCTTCACTCTCCAGTGTAAATCTTCACTGCTTTAATTTAAACCCTTACTTACTTCGTATGTGCCATGGGGATGAGAAACAGATTCTATATCCTCTACAATCCATCCTTTATATATTAGGTAACATACTCTTTTCTTCTGCCCAGTCTTTTAAACTTTATACTAACTGACTTACAGGTCTTCCCTTGTAAGCCCTGTCGTCTTTTTTTAGTTGACTGGTTCACAATCTTACACAAGTACAATTTCAGTCAAGGCTTAAAGTCAAAGAATAACTACATTCTTGATGCTTCTAGCTCATTGAAAAAAAAAAAGTGTCCGTTTTGAATACCATACGAACATGGCATCACTCATTTTTGCTTTGGCATCTGATGCTGCCAAGTAACACTGTTTTTTTGAGACAGACTTCTCAGTTTATCAAATTATTTTTGACTGTACAGCTGCCCTCCAATGCGCTTTTAGTCCCTTCAAAGCATAGTGATGCCTGGGAATGTGATAAGCAAACTCTGAAACTAAGTAATGATACACTGGAAGACCACCCAAACCTAATCTCAACAGACAAGCTGGAACGTCGCGTAAGATACATTATTCTGCCAAGACCTCGTTAAAAACCATTCTCCAAGCAGCTTTATGAAAGTTCTGCACCTCTACTAGAGTATTTTCAACTTGGTCAGGCACTGCCCTTGTTATAAAAAGATATTTTTGGTCATCTGCAGACCAAGACAGATATACTACAAGGTCTTTACGAAAAATGAAAGACATGTGACATGGGAAATAACAGAAGGTGTCTGAAGGAGGTCTGGAGGGGAAGACATCAAGTAGTAGTTACAGAGTAGGGACTAGATCAAAGAGGAGAGGATGAGGCAGGTGGAAATCACTGGATCTAGAAACACAAACCTTTCCTTGCCCTGGTCCAGTCCCTTGGGAAATACACTGGCCAGGGAAACAAAGAGGGAGAGAAGGCAGTATCAGAGTGAGAAATCCTGAATTATTTCTTTGCTTTTTTTATGTTTGGCCACCTCTACTCAAGCACGTGCTAGATTACAAAATCCAAAATTATTTTCATATGTCACAGTTTAAAACATTAAAACCCACAACTTGTCCACGTATGTCTTTAAAATACATCCCCTATCAGCTTGCCAAAATCAGCATACGTCAAATTATACTGTGTACCATCACTACAGGCTTCTTACCTATGAACCACAACAAACAGCCTTTAACAGTTAAACTAAACTGAAAAGTTTCCCTAAAGATCGTCTCAACCACGTAACTAGAGACTTAGCAATACTACCTCTCTCAGAAACTTCATTAATGGCTAAACTACCCCGTTTTCCCTCCTGCCTTGAGGACTAAATTGGTTTGATATACATTATTCCTCAGTAGAACACCTCTGCTAACTGCAAAATAAATTAAATTATCATATATACTCAACTTCTGAAAACAACCTTTGGACCTATAATTAATACAAGGAATGCAGCTACAGTATCATCTTCATAGTGTAATTTATCTTTTAAAGCAGCTAAAACGCAGTGAAGCAGAGTGCACAGTTGTTCTACATGTCAATTAGCACAGAGGAAAACACCCAATTTTCTTTATCTGTAAAATGAATTTCATAAATAGATCTAATTATAATACCACTGCCATCAGTTGTTGACAGAACTGTTTAATGTTTATAGAAACTGTGTATACAATATGTCACCCCAGAAACTATTATGAAGCTTGCAAAATATAATTATGAAAGTTTGACATCTGCAAAGGCTGGCATTCTTTTTTAAGCATTCCACAGAGTCAAGTATTTCAATTGCTCGTAAAAACTCTTTCAGATTTTACTACATACAGTATAACAGAACCATCCAGAAAAAAAAAGGTTTTAGGGTATTTTCTATTAAAAAGGCAGATTTACTATTCTAAAGTCTTACTATTGTAAGTATTAGTCTCTTTTTATTATTAAGCTCGAATGGAAGAACAGAAACTAGATAGAACAACCGAGGAAAAATTCAGCTCATAATAATCACATAATAAACAAGCAGTGTACGGTGCAAACGCCACACAGAAAATTACTTGCAGAATGGAAATACTGCAAATAGAAAAAAAATATTTTTTTTTTTTACTAAAAAGACATAATTATACTGAAAAGTTCAGGTTTTACCTCCTTACTATTTTTTCCAGCTGGTCAAAAATTGTAAGTCAAGGCTTATATTCCCTTATATGTTCCCTACATTTAGTTATCACTGATTTCAATAAAATTTAACACTTGTGAGGTCTTCAAATTTGCATTACAGAATTTAATGCTTCATTCAAACAGCAAAATTCAGAATCTGTGGAATACAGTGCAATGAACCCACTAATTCACACAGGACAAAGATCTAGATCCTGAAGGCTACCTGTAGCATGACATTAAGACTCATGTCAAGACTTAGCACAAGCTTAGCTATTCAGATTTCAACCCTGCTTCATGATAGCATAGGTTAAACTAATGACTGAGGCTTGTATCTACTGTTGTTTCTGCAAAAGAAAAATCCAGTTAATCTGGTTTAGTGACAACCCTTCACTGCAAACGTAACTAGTCAGCCTTTCAGCTCAGACAAAATCCTGTAGCAATGATATCCCATTCTATAAAAAGATTACATTTTTCCCTCTCCATGTTGCCTTGCAACAATGGTAAGAAAAAAATGGCTACAAGACCTCCTGGAAGCATCAGATATTAAGTTATTTGTCTTAAGTTTCCTTTGTTTTTATTTGATTTCTTTGAGGATAGAAAAGGAGAAAAAAGATGGAAATAATAAAAAAATCAAAAACTTGTCAACATCTAAGTATGCTTGAAACGCTCTTGCATCTTTAAGTGTTTGTTCTTAAAAGACAATATATATCATCACTGCAATTACGCAGGAGGCATAACTGAAATACTAAGTAGTTTGTGAAAACAACATAAATTTGTCAGAGTTGGGCAAATTTTGGAATATCTATAATTAGAAAGAATTTCTTATCCAGTTTTCAAAAATGTTGGATGAATTCTGTCTGTAACTCTCTGTATTTCAAGACTTCCCTTTGCCTCCCACTCTTGGGAACTTAAATGATACCAATAGGTATGACCTTCAGACATTCCGAAGTGATGACAAAGTTCACTAAAGAGTCAATGGAGATCACTGTAAAAGTTTAGCTTACAACAGATGAATTAACTTTCTTGATTTACAGCTCCTAACTCTGAAACATGACTTTTGGCTTCAGTGTGCAGTGAATGCTGCGGCATGAACAAACATTAATGAAGATAACATCCATCTGACAAAGGTGAATATAATTTTATTACACAAGTCCAGTTTTCTGACAATTTAATTCTGTTTCAATGAGGCACACCTGACATGACAATAAAGGGTAACACACTCCCAAAAAAACCACAGTGGGAAGCCTTAAATATGGGATGACTTTGGAAACAGAAAAGCAGCAGAATTACAAAAGGAACAAAATGAAAATTAAAAGGGCAACCAGAAGATCTACACAAGTAACAGGGGGGAAAGATGATCTTTATACCTAAATAAAACTATGACTAATATTCAAGAGAAACTTGGAGGAGTACATACATCGAGAATTCACATAACTGCCTCTGCAGTTCAAGGTGTGATATGATAGGAAAGGACAGAAAAAAAAAAAAAAAAAAAAAAAAGAAGAGAAGTGTTGCCTAGTGTGGGGTCACCTCCAGCACCTGCATACAGGGCACGAGGTGCCTACAAGGAACCACTGTGGAAAAATTCCCCCAAATCCTCTCTAGGAACTCAAAATGATGGGGTGCCACACTGAAGTGCCTGTATACTACTGCATGGACAGTGGGGAATGAACATGATGGGTTAAGAGATCTGTGTGCAACAGGACTCATGGAGGCATAGCGAGATGGTTCCCATGACAGGACTGCTGGAATGGATTGAAACAGGCTCTTGAGGCAAGACAGTTCAGGAAGAGAGGAGAGTGAGTTGCCTGCCCTTCATGTGAGAGAGCAGCTGGAGTGCAGGGAGCTGTGCCTAGGGATGAATGAAGAGCTGACAAGACAGCTTATGGGTTAAGACAGGCAAGGCTCCAGGAAAAGCTAAAAAGCTTTCTGTATGAAAACCTCACTATCACAACATATGAT